GGTTATTTTTTTATGTAAGTTTGTCAGATATTTGTGCTAACTGTATAGTTATCCAAATCAGTTGGGCCTGTGTGTCCAGGATCTGAAAGAATAAATCTGGGCCCCCAAACCAGCATGTTGTGGACAAATGGGGTTTTAAAAATGTGTATCTCCCTCCTACCGGTGGCCTGGTCTTTAGAAATACAGCTTCTTGTGCTTTTAAATGTTTTGCTGTTGGCAGGTACCGGTACAGACCAGTTGTAGAACCTGTCTCAGGCTGAGAAAATTATTTTGTTGTCTTGAAGAATTTTTAACACATGTGAGTGAGATGCTGTACATGTCTTCCTATTTTCCCTCAAATAACCCACCAGGCCTCAGTCGGTAGGACTGTATTTTGTGGTATTTTTGAAAGCCTCATATTTTTCCTTTTCACCTCTGGAATCAGTGTTTTCCTTGCTAGTCTTCTTTCCTTGCCCCGTCCCAGCACCCTGTTCTGTCTCTCTGCTTGTTTTTCCTTCTCTGCTGTCTCTTTCCCTTCCATCTTGTCCTTTCTGTTTGTAGCTCTGGGCCCTGCTTGGTGCGCGTGCTCAAGCTCCCTCTCTCTCCAGGTTTGCCCTTTGCCTCTCTTTCTGTACCTCTGTGGCTCCTCTAGTCTTTTTTTTTGGGGGGGGGGTGGGGGGCACATTTCCCCTAATGATGGCTGAAGCCAGCAGGGGTATTTGAGACTTGTTTCGTGAAAACTGTTGATGTTTATGGCCAAATTCTATATTATCAACAATAAAAGAGGGAGGCCTTTATTTCACAAATGCAGAAAAATTCCTTTTGGAGAATGAAAAGCCCATGTGAATTTCAAAAAGTCATATTTCTGGCTTCTGGATTTTTCTTTTAAATAGGGAAAGTACCTTTTCCCCAGAATCTTCCTTTTCTTTCTTTCCCCTGTTGTCTTGGGTTTCCCTTTTTGCTCACTCTTAGCATCACTGGCTTCCTTTCCCGTTGGTTGTTTTTCCCTCTTTCCCTTTCCCTTCTTCCTCCCTCCTTTCCTTCAGGGGCCTGCCAGTCCCCTCACTTCCTCTGTCTCCCAAGTCCCTACTCTTGCGGTGACTCAGACCTGGAGAAGCCCTGATTCATCTGAGGGTTCTTGGGTCTTGGCTCTGGTCCTGTGTGCTGGGTGCAGAGCGGTCTGATCTGAAGGGGGGTGGAGGGGAGAAAGGAAGGAGGCTGGGATGGGGACAGGTAATCTTCCAACAGGAGCCACGACTCTCTCCTAACAAAAGGGGGACAGTCCCCTTTTGTCTGGGGCTCTTGAGGGGCGTGTCTGGGCTGGCGGCCACCCCTAGTGGCCTTGGAGCAGCAGGAGGAGTTGTCGGGGGCTGTGCTTGAAGTGTTTCTAATGGAACCTGAGCAACTCTAAGGGGAGACTGATCTTCTCCCCTTCCCAGGCCTTCTGAATACCCGCGGTTCTTTCAGAACGGCCGCCCTGCGGGGAGTAGGATCAGAGAGAATGTTGCCTAAGGATCCTCTGCCTACCCCTTCAAGGTTATGGCCACTAGCTACAGAGGGACGGTTGACAATTGTCCTCAGCCCCAGCCCCCCCCCCCCCGCAAAACAGGGAGGGGGCCTGTTACTCCTGTGCAGGGCTCTACAAATGGGCCCTGAGGATCCTTGGAGATGCCCCTCCTCAGCCACTGCTCTGTCAGATCTCTTTGTCAGTTCACCAACCTTTGATCCCTCCCTTTCTGCCTCCTTCCCATGGAGTGAATCCTGCACCCCATCCTGTTTCCCAGATTTCCACAGATCCTTCCATGGGCATCTCCCAGCTGTGGGAATGTGTTCTCCCCCTTCCCTCGCCCAACCTGATCCAGCTGTACCTCCAGATTCTGATTCAACCCATGTGAAGCACATCTCTTTTACCTAGCACCGTGGTCTGTGGAAAGGAACATGCCAGGATTCACCAGGAGACTCATGCTGGCCATTTTCTGTTCAATGTCTGATATTTAGCATAATCAGAATACCAGAAAACACCCCCTGTGCCAAATACAAACTCACTTACAGTTTTTATGGCTTCATCTTGACTTTTGAGAGTAAAATTGCTTTCTCAAGGTGGAGTGGCAGGGGCAGGGTTCCCTACCTTATGTTGCTGAGCTAATGTGCTTGGCTGGTTGGACCAAAGCTGGTTATTAACAGGACATGAATTATTGAACAACACCCTAAGCGGCCTGTTCCTGAGGGCACCTGCCTCTTGCACTGTTACCTCTGTTTATCTTGGGGTCAGTTGTGAGCTCACTTCACTTGAGTCTGCCATTTAGGATGAGGGGTCCCAGGTGCCGGGTGGCACCTCTCCCATTATCAGGCTTCAGTGCCAGCCCCGTGCTGGATGTTTTGTTCTGGAACACCTCAGGTGCTCTTCCGGGAACCTTTCTGATGAACATAAAGGCCACTGAGTGCAGGGTTTCAGATCGGGAAGAAAGGGGCACGAGTGAGCAGTGACCTTTTTTCCTTTGCCAGCTGAGGGTTGAGCTTGGGGAGAGGGAAGCTGTAGGGGTGGCTGGAGCTGAGCAGGTCAGATCACTCCCTGTCTGCGTGGACGCCCTTCTCATCTGCTTTCCCTTCCTTCATAACAGTCTCCTTCTTACTGTGTTTCTAAGGCCTAAGGCATGGCTGCCCCGTAGCCCTCACTGGAGAGATCCCCCAAGGAGGGGGGCTCCACCTCCCACCACTTCTCACCCTCCTGGCCTGATGGGGGAAGGCCTGGAGTTGGGGACCAGGAGCAGGGGCCTGTCTGGTGGGTCTCTTCTCTGCGATTGGTTTCCCCAGGTGTCCGAGTTCCCTGATGGCACCCTGTGCTTCCATCTCACCGTGTCCTCTCTTAGCTCCCTCCCTTTCATTCGGGTTTCCCATTTTACGCTTTTGCATCTTATACTTTATTTTGGGTCCTTTCATCTGAATTGATATGGGGACAGCTAAGAAAACTAACCTTCCACTAAGTAGAGAGGGTAAATTTGGAGAAAGCAAAGAATTCAACATTTGTGGGGGGTGGGCATCTGTAAGATGCCTCTGTTCAGAGGTACCGACCGTCCATCTTCCTTTGTCGCTTCTCTCTGGGGCTGGCTGTTGTGTTTGTGGCTGCGTGTGGTGCTTGTCAGCGGAGTGCTGTGACAGGAGGCTATTTTAATAAACTGTTGCAGTTCCGCGAGCCGAGCTGCACTGCGTTGGCATCCCTCGTCACCACTAATGGAGCGTGCGTGGCTGGGTGTGGGCTGGGGAAGGGGGGAGGCGCAGGGTGCTGGCCCCTTGTCTGGGAGTGCTCCTGCCTCGGGAGCAGTCAGACCCGGGGGCCAAGGGGTGGCTGTGCCTGGGCATATAGGGTCCTGCCCCAGAGGTGCCTCTGGCAGGGACACTTTCTGAGCTGTTTCTTTTCTGTTCATAGCACTGCCGGCTCGTGGCTCATGTGTGTGTGTGTTGTGTGTGTGTGTGTGTGTGTGTGTGTGTGTGTGTCCAGGGAGAGAAACTTCCAGTCGCCTCTGTGTGCGCCATAAATTAAAAAAAGAAAGAAAGAAAGAAAGAAAAAGAACAGAACTAGAACCAGAAAAAGAGTGTGCGGGCCTGAGAGAAAGACTGAAACCAAAACAGAGAGAAGGCGCAGCTGCTTCCCCAAGGCCTTCTGGGGCTCCCGCCCGCCAGCCCGCCCGGAATCAGGCCTTTATTTATTTATTTTTCTGGCTTAAAAAAAATTCTGTGTCTTCTTCAATCCCATTCCTCCCACCCCACCACCCCCAAATTTGCTGGATGGCTACTGCCAAATGGACCCGAGTGGGAGCCTGGAATGAAAAATTCATAACTGCTGGACTTTGCTTGTTCATTAGACGTGAACTTGTCGATTGGGCAAATTGTTTTTGGTCTCCAACTGCCGGGGGCTCTCCCCACCCTCCCGGCTCGCCCAGCTCCCTCCTCCCCTTGGACGCAGCCATTGGCTGCGCTCGGAGGTCTCTTTGCCAAATAGGTGGATCCTTCTCTCTCTCTCTCTCTCTCTCTCTCTCTCTCTCTTCTCTCTCTCCTCTCTCCCTCCCTCTCTCTCTCCCTCTCTCCCTCTCCCTCTCCCTCTCTCTCTTCCTCTCCCTCTCTCCCTCTCGTTCTCTCCCTCTCCCTCTCTTCTCCCCCCCCCCCCTTTCCTGGCTTGGCACGAGCAAATGGATGGGGATTGAGCATGAAAGGGGAGAGAGAGAGGGAGTTTGAGAGAGAAAAGGAGCAACAAAACCCCCCAAACCCAGCCAGCGCTCGTGTACACACACACACACACACACACACACACACACACACACATACACACATACACATGCACACTCACACACGCACACTCACACCCCCATCCCATCAGCGTCTTCCCTGGATCCTCGGTCTCTCCCCCTCCCTCCCCCTCATTCCCTCTCTCTCTTTTGCACGCGTCTGCCAGCCACAGTCTGCAGCCGGTCAGAACTCGTCCTCTTTCCCGGGAATCTGCGAGCTCCCCCTTCTCCTGCGATCGGGTGGAGGGAGGCAGCTCGAAGTTTACACCCCTGTGCTGCTGCCAAAGCCGAAAGCCTTTTTCTTCAGCTGCCGCTTTTTCTTCCCTCCTGGTTTTTGTTTTTGTTTTTGTTTTGCACGGGGGTGGGTAGGGTGAGTTGTTGTGTGTGGGTGGGGGGAGATGGAGGTTGGTTTTGATTTTTAAATTTTGCATATTTTTGTTTTCTTTTTTTTTTAACTGAAAGAGTATGCACAGGGGGAGAAATTGAAAAACAAATTTTTTGTTGGCTTTTGTTTACCTGGCGTGTGTGGCAACCAGCTCGCTCCCTCTCTCTGCTTGCTATCCCTGACCTTTCTTTCTTTTTGCTCCTTTTCAAAAAAAAATATTAATTTCCCCCTTCTGTGCAATGGAGTGTGGGGGGGCAGAGGGGGAAGGGTTTGAGAATCCACCCAAGCCCGGCCCCTATTCCCCAGAACACCAATAATAACCCCCTTTAAAACATTTACCTTCCTCCCCTGCTCCTCCCCCTCCCCCCTCCCCCCACCCGCCCCCAACTCACAACTCTGTTGAGTCCAGAATCTCAGAATCGGGCGTTGGGCTTTGCCGGGTGCTTCAGATCAATGGTAATTATTTAATTTTCTCCAGTTTTATTTTTGTAAGCAGAAATCAGTTATTATTTAAACTTCAAACAAGCAAAAAAAAAAAAAAAAAAAAAAAGCAAAAGCTGAGAGCCCGGCCTTCTGTCACCTGACTGAGTGGAAAGAGGGTGAAGGGGTCGTGGGAGGCTGGGGAAGGGGCCGCAAGACGACCCATGCAGCTTTTAACCCTAATGTGGCTGAGACAACCACCTTATTTGTGTTAACAAGAAGTGTTTTTGTGCATTATGACTGTGATTAACATTAGTATTGATGTCGATAACAAAGCTGAAATCACATATTTAGGATTTAGGTCTGATTTTAAAAATGCTGGGGTGGATGTTCCAACTGGATCAGGAGAAAAGAAAATGAAAACAGCCTGAGGAGAGGGAATCCAGAGCCGTTTCCTCGATCGCTAGTGGATGTCATTTTCTGTCTTCTTGGGGGCAGCCAAAAATCAGCCAGTGTTGGGACAGGCGGTGGTCCCGTGTGCCCCGCGTGCATCCACGGTCATCTGTGCAGACGGACACGGCGCTGGGGCGAGCTGCGATAGAACATGGAATGTCATGGGCGCGACAGAGCTTGGCGGGGATACCAACAGCGTGTGTGTGTGGACGGCAATGTTGTCTGTGCGCGTGTGAGGGAGAGAGAGAGAGAGAGAGAGGGAGAGCGAGAGGGAGAGAGAGAGAGAATAGGTGTGTGGACAGGCTCCCGGTGGCTCTGTCTGGCTGCTGAGGCTGAGATGGGAGCAAGTGGCTGGCGAAGCTGGTGGTGGCTTCAAACCACACTTTTGTAGAACAATCGCAAGAGAAAATTGTTGGGGGGGGAGGGAGGAGGAGGAGGAGGAGAAAGAGGCTTTCCTCGTACCCCCCTTCTAACGCCGCTTTTCTCCTTCTCTTTCCCCTCATCCCGTCTTCCCCTCCTCCCGTCCTCCCGCGCCCCGCATGCTCCCGGCTTGCCGCCTGCAGGATGAGTTCCACCCGTTCATCGAGGCGCTGCTGCCTCACGTCCGAGCCTTCTCCTACACCTGGTTCAACCTGCAGGCTCGGAAGCGCAAGTACTTCAAGAAGCACGAGAAGCGGATGTCGAAGGACGAGGAGCGGGCGGTGAAGGACGAGCTGCTGGGCGAGAAGCCCGAGATCAAGCAGAAGTGGGCATCCCGGCTGCTGGCCAAGCTGCGCAAAGACATCCGGCCTGAGTTCCGTGAGGACTTTGTGCTGACCATCACCGGCAAGAAGCCCCCCTGCTGCGTGCTCTCCAACCCCGACCAGAAGGGCAAGATCCGGCGGATTGACTGCCTGCGCCAGGCCGACAAGGTGTGGCGGCTGGACCTGGTCATGGTGATTTTGTTTAAGGGGATCCCCCTGGAAAGTACTGATGGGGAGCGGCTCTACAAGTCGCCCCAGTGCTCGAACCCCGGCCTGTGCGTCCAGCCACATCATATTGGCGTCACAATCAAAGAACTGGATCTTTATCTGGCTTACTTTGTCCACACTCCGGGTAGGTGGCTCTTAACCTTTCTACCCCTGTTTTATTTGCTAGCATTTATTCTGTTTATTGTTCCTCTTATTTCTAACCCGTACCAGGCCATGGGCCTAACTGCACACCTGTCCTGGGGGGCCTGTGTTTTGTCTGATGTGCCTTTCTGCCTCTCCTTCTCCTGTCTCCCTCTCTGTCCTCTTCCTCTGCTCCCTTGCCTTTATACCCACTGTGTGCATTTCCATCTCTGGAGGACTCATCTAATCAGAAGGATACTCTGTGTCTTAGGACGGGTCAGGCTGCCCCAGAATTATCCGTGATGGCGAGTTTGAGACAACAGCAGCATCACCAACAACCAGTGTTTACTCTTATTTAAATTGAATCAGAAGAAATATTAGGGGGTTAGGTGCTGGCTTTCCTGTGGCTTTATGTCAAGTTCCAGGAAAAGCTAGATTTGGCACAAGCGGGGTGGGCAGCAGTTCGGTGGAGAGAGGAGCATGTGAAATCCCCGCACATGAGACTGAACAAATAGAGAACAGGAGAGAAGGCAGCAGCGGGCAGATTCTGGGGCCCAGATGCCCAGGCGAGAGCTGTTTTGGCTGGGATTTGGCTATCAAAGAGCATGAGAGTAATTTGATTTTATAGAGAGAGTGAAAACAAGCGGGAGATTCCTTGAGCTCTGTCCCTCACCTGGTCTCTCTGCAGAAATGGGAAGGCCCCTGGGTGTGTGTGCTGCCCAGCCGGCCCAGGCTCCTGTGCTGGGGGTGGAGAGGCTTTCCTGAGGAGCAGGCCTGGCAGGGAGCTTCGTTGCTGTGGAAAAGGTCTTAAACAAACAAACAAACAAAACCTGTAAAATTTCCTTTCTTTTTGTGTTCCAAGTAGTTCCACTTCTCTTGGCTTTTCCAGTCTCACTCTGCATTTTGGGTTGAGCTGGTTTAGTTCTCCTCTTCTGATCCTTTTCATTTTTTCCCCCTTACCCTTTCCCTTTTTATAATTTCTTTCCGCTTTTGTTTTCTTACAAATTGAAACAGAGATGGCTGGTTAATTTTTAGCCTCCACTCAGCTACGCCCAATTTACTGCCGCCTTTGAAACCTAAACGGGCGGCACTCTGTGATTAAGCAAGGCAGAAGTGTGTTTACATTATGCCCAACCAACTTGTAATGAGAGGGCTACCGAGCCTCTCTCTCTGTATGTGTGTGTTTCTTTCCTCGCCACCATTCCAGTGTTCTTTCCCTCTCATTTCCCTTTTTCCTCTCTTTATGTGAGTGTGAGAATGTGACTTCACTTCAACTCTCCAAAATGTTCTTTCCTGTGAGTATGCGTCTCAGTGTTTTCCTTCCTGTTCATTCACAAAAAAGAAAAAGCCACTCACAACTGCTGTGGTCACCCCCTTGCCTCTTTGGGAAGTTGGGAGGATTGATATGACTGGATCCAGAAATAAATTGGGAGGGGGGTTGCTTTTGGAACATAATCTCTCCTGCCGAGAATGAGCGCTGAGAGTGTGTTGGAGAACTCTGGGTAGGAAAAGATGGCATTTGAGGTCTCTCTTCTTACTCATTCTCTCTTGTTCTGAGAGGTGGCTTTGGTAGGCTGGCTGGAGGCTGTGGATGCCACCCTGAACCCTGCCTGCTTCTGTGGATCTTTCTGGGCCTGTACCTGGCACTGTGTGACCATTAGGACCCCTTATACTGAAGGGCCAATTGCCAGTTCTTTCCCCTCTCCAGCTTGGATTTTTTTTTTTCTTTCATCTTTTTTCTTTTTGGAAAAGAGACTAAATGGGGAGGGTGTCTCTCATTCTCTGTCAGCATAGCAAGCCACAGTTGGGAGGGTGTGTGCCTGGTGATGTTAGAGGAGATGAGGGGCGGCCAGCAGCGGCTGCTTAGAACCTGGAGCTTGCTAGTGTGTCCATCAGATAGCTCTTCCTCAAGAGGACTCTACACCTTCCAGTTTTAGAACTTGGATCCCAGGCGTATCTGCAAGGAAAATCAACACTCCATTTCTTCTCCTCTCCCCTATGTCTGGACCCTTGTAGCAGAGTTGTTTCCCTGACCTCTTTCATTGTAGGCCCAGATCTTGACTACTACCAGCATGGGGCTGAGGTAGGATGAAGTGTGTGTATGAAGGAGACCATTTCCTGGCCAGCCTCCTGGCTCTGGACTGACCAGGCAGGTGTCAGGGGAAGTAACCCCCACCCCCGCCAGTGAGATCATTTGTCCAGGAATATGAGTGAATTCCTATTCCGTTGAGTGTAGCCAAGGCCACCTATGTCTGGGCTGAGGCTGAGTCTCCTCAGCAAATGCCAAATAGAGAACTAAGGATTTACTTTCTCTAATTCAGTCCACAGACTTCAGAGAATCTTGGTGAATAGGGTTTTTCTTGGAGGAATTGCTGGAATTGAGTATACCTTTGTGAAGAAAGTTTGAGTTGCTACTGCTGGGGCTATCAGTGAGCCTCATTGCTCACTCCCCCTTGGAGTCCAGTTGGTAGTCTTGAGATGGCACGGAGCAGGTAGGCTTCCTCCCTGAGCTACCTGGGCTTGCTAGAAAATGTCTTCTCCCTGGCTGAGCCACCTGACAGTGTTGATTCCCTGGTACCACCTTCTCTAAGCCCATGCCCACCAGATACACTCGTACAGCTGTCCCCTTCTTTCTTCTTCCTAGTATTATAGACTGAGGTCAAGGTCTGGAGCAACTGAGGTGCAGATGAGACTTGCTTCCAGATAAGAGTTGCTTTGGACTGTGAAATAAGGGTTTTTTTCTTCCCTTAAAACTGGATCTGGGTTGGGGCTGGGGATGTGGCTCAAGCGGTAGCGCGCTCGCCTGGCATGCGTGCGGCCCGGGTTCGATCCTCAGCACCACATACCAACAAAGATGTTGTGTCCGCCGAGAACTAAAAAATAAATATTAAAAAAAAAAAAAAACTGGATCTGGGGACTGGGGATATAGCTCAGTTGGTAGAATGCTTGCCTCACATGCACAAGGCTCTGGGTTCAATTCCCAGCACCACACACACACACAAACAAAACAAAACAAAACAAAAACTGGATCTGGGAGCCGAATCTGGGCTGAGCTAGTGGTGTCAGGTTGATGACTGTCAACTTGACCTGGCGTTAAGTGTCGGGATGTGGCATTGCTCTCAGGTGCCATCATCACCCATAGCCCTCATGGGCCCTTGTTATGCCCTGGAAGAAGCTTCAAGAGGTGATAGGTTGGGGGGCTGGGGTTGTGGCTCAGTGGTAGAGCACTTGCCTAGCAAGTGTGAGGCACTGGGTTCAATCCTCAGCACCACATAAAAATAAATAAAATAAAGATATTGTGTCCATCTACAACATTATATATATGAAGAGGTGGTGGGTTGGGAGAGAGTAAAGTATGTGTGTGTGTGTGGCATGGAGAGCCCCACTCCCAGAACACAGCATCTGAAGGCTCCGTAAGCCAGCCTTCCTGATGGAGAGAGGAGTTGACTTGTGTCTCTGTATTTTATGAGGGGTTGACAAAAACCGCAGGGTCTAGGAACTCGATCAGTGAAATTAGCAAAATCTGTTGAGGCAGGGTAGGATCAGAGAGCATCGCCATGGTAGGAGGATGTCTATTTCCTGATGATGTCCTTCCATCCAGAAGAGGTGTTCCAGAGCAGGAGGCCCAGCAAGGAAAGCAGGCAGTGGAGACCTTGTGTGAGGAAGGACGGCCAGGCGGACCCGGAAGCGAAGCTAGACTACCTCCAGAGCTTCTTTGGCTCAGTCCTAGGAAACAAACAAAAATCCAGTAAAATGCTTGACCAAATGGAACTGTCCACCTACTCCGGTCAGCTCCCTCCAGTGGGCCCATAGGGGAAGCCCATAAAATCCAGGTATTCTGGTGGTGGCTTTTTTCTTTATCCAAGCTCCTTCGTGATGGAGGCTTTCACACTTTGAGGGAACCCCCCTGACACTCATCACCAGTGCCAACAGTCACCAAGTCAGGGCCAGTCTCAACTCCTCCAACCCCCACTGCCTGCCAGCACTGGGCCATCTAGAAGAGAGTCCAGCATCCTAGTCTTTCCATCCACAAACATTTCTGTGCACATATCTAAAGATAAGGGCTTTGGAAAAACGGAACTAAATGCCACTATCACACCTGTAAAAAATCAAATTTCCTTCATCTCATCAGATACTTGGTTAATGTTCCCATTCCCCTACTTATCTTCTAGTTTTTGTTTATAGTTTGTCTGAATTAGGATATAGATTGAATTGTGACAGTTAGTCCATCTGCCGTGGTGATGGTGGCAGTTGTCATTGTCATTGTCCTTGTGGTCGTGATCCTCCTTGGTCTTGTTTTCTTTTCTGGCAGTTTTGTAGTTGAAGGGACTACGTCATTTGTCCTGTAGAGTTTCCCTGTCTGGTCTCTGCAGGCTGTGCTGCCCTGGGTGGTTCAGCGTGTGGCTCTGAAAGGAAATTCTGCCTTCATCTGGGCTTCCAGGTCCTGGGACCACTGGGCTTGGCCTTACCTGTCACGGGAAATGGGTTAGCATCTGTGGATTTGCTAAGTGACCTTTTTCAAGTGTGGGTTCACTCTCTTGGTGTTAGCTCTCTGCTCTAGGGCTTGGGGATTAGTAGTGAGCACTAGTTTTCAGGTCCAGTGGGGGGCTTCTCATCTACGTCCTTCCCTAGTGGTAGAGGATATTGTTTGGCAGTGTCCACCCTGCTAAGACAGTACCAGGATGCCCCACAAGCCTTTGGTGGACTCTCAGCCTCTCTGGCAGCCCTGGTGTGAGTGTGCAGGAGGGGCCGCAGGAGTGCAGGTGCATTCTCAGGGTCCACCCATATCCATCACCTCCTTTTTCAAGGCCCCAAAGTCTGCTGGTCTCTCTTTGAGGCAGCGCCATCTGGTGCCAGGGTTGGCAAAGACCGCAGGGCCTAGGAACTCGGATCAGTGAAATTAGCAAAATATGTGGATCATCCTTTAACCCCATGTAGGGTCCCCCTTAGAACATCCTGTAAGCAGAGTCTGTCTTTGTTAGCTTTGGTGGTTGTAAAATTCTC